ACTTTTAGTAAAGCAACAACGATCGACAGTGATTGACTGAATGAATGAATGCAATCACTGCCATTCCTCTGACACTCTATTGAGACTCAACTGCCTTTGCAACTAAATAGTAGCAGAATAGCAAATATTATTATCATAATTGCAATATCGTCTGCTTTAAAGGTAAAACCACATAAGTGACATTTTCCACAAAAAATCTCCAAATTATGTACGTGTTGTAAGATAATCACCATCTTTCTGCCGATAAAACTCTCATTAAGTTCATAGCTTTTTGTTATTGAGTTTCACGTGTACAAATATAGTGATTTTCTTACCTATATATAGCTATATAAATTAAAGATTTTTTGTTTAAAATGGTATTTATGTTGTTGTACCTTTAATCTCAATAGAATTACAATGACTAATGGTTTTATAAAATAGTAGAATTGCAACCCTCCCTATCTCAGGCTGACAGGCGCAGTGGCAGAGCCCCTCAAATTTTTGTGATTTAAAGCTCTGAGTGGCAACGACTGTTATGGATCGGTGTGTCGCTTACCACCAGGAGAACGACTAGTTCGTCCCATCCATCGATTATATAACCAGAAATAGAGACGAAATAAAGGCCATTCATCTTTGTTTGCACTGAAATCACAAATTAGAAAGCTGAAATAGTAATGCACCGACAACTGACCTGTGTGTACCTCTCCGCATATTCCAAAAATATTATTTTGTATTTATTGTAATAAAGATAATATCTTTAACTATGGGGGGCTGTTACATTCGGTGGTGTTCAAAACAAACGGAATCCCATTTCATCGGAAATTAAATTTCAATTTTCGTCCATCATAGCAAAGCTCAAGTTAAACTGGTCATATTGAAGTGGAACAATTGACGATACCCGATAATTGTTTCGAATTTGGGTTAGCCAATCGGAACGCAGTTGTCATCGTAATGATTTGGCAGAACAGTTTTCAAACAAATAATTTTTTTGTTTTTGTACGATTTTATTTTTATAATATCAAGTGATATTATAAAAATAAAATCGAATTGAAGAAATTTTTCTTTGTCTCAATTTTTGTATTAACTTTTCAACAAACAACTTTTGTCTAGCTACAGTGCACTGTAAATTAAATAAAAAATGCCCTCTATTTAGAAACACTTTGATAAACAAAATTGTTACTTTACAAATCCGTCGTTTTGCATATAAATTACAATTAACATATACATATGAGCTTTGTACACTTGTGACCGGTTTTTATCATCTTTTAGCACCGTTTATTAATCAAGTAGTTAACAAATTGAAGTTGGATTTGACAAGGCGATCTTGAAAAGTTTAATTAGGCGGCGGAATGCGGGTTTAAACATAATAATATATGCTAAATTATGTAAATCGAATCGCTACGTGAACAAAAAATGGATCTATTCAATATCAATTAGGTATCCATAGCATTCACGTTTATAATTATAACATTTATTTTCAGATTATGTTCTTAGACAATATTTACTTTAATAGCTCAAAAAATGGTCAGTATATATATAAAGGCATAATTCCTGTAATAACAGAGTTAAATAATTATCTTTTTAACCGACGTGAAAAGAAGGAGGTTTCAATTCGATTATATTTTTTGTGATTTCGATGATTCTTTTTTGCTGGAAAAGGGGTGCCTCAGAAGTGGTCCCATTCAAATTTCAAGAAAATATTCCACCTCTAAGGGTGGCAAATTAGGGGATGAATCCGGTTTATTGGATTTCACCCACTTTACGTTAACTGATTTCAATAAAAGTTCCATAAATTTTTGAGGTCAGTTTTTGTTTCATAAAAAACGAAAGTTTCGAAAAATCAGCCAAATATTATAAAGCAAAACAAATTTGTAATACACATCAATTAGTAGTAACAAGGCTTAGAACTGTATGTAGTGATCTAGTACGCTTTATCATTCGACATTGTAGTGATTTTGTGGAAGAGACGCTGCGCGGGCGCACCGGAAGCGCGAATAGACGCAACGTAGACGCACGCACTTCCGCCGGCGGGCGTCGAACCCGCCACCTGCCCGAGCCGCGATCCTAACGCGCAAACATTGATGAATGATGCGCTGTGATACGTTAACTTCATTTGAACCGAGTGGCTATTCATTAGTTCAAAACAAATGTATTTCAAAGAATTTGGTAGAACGTACTGGTAATGCATGAAAAACCTTTATTGTTAAGGTACATTAGTACATAAATAACAATATGAAACAGAAATACTATAGTAGAACATCAGCAGAAATTCAAAATTATAAATCGACGCTCTAATGGGCAATAGACAAACAGAGTATAGATTAACAAAACAAGACTAACATCTTAATGAATTCTATCAAGTCCTAATCGTAACGACTTACGTTAATTACTCCTCGTACATTTGATTGTTCTCTACATCATACTAATGTATTACATATACTTGTTTGTATGAGCGTGGAATAGCCACCAACAAAGCACGAGCGTGTGGTGGTCGACCATCGCATTACCATATGCAAATAGCTTGTATTATACGCTCTGTGCATCGCGCTAACAGTTTTTGTATGTATCACCAGCCAGCTATTAGTGAAGATAAATAAAAATAAAATGAACAATGTATGTAGCTACACTTTTTACTGCATGATTACCGACGCAAGTTAAAAGACGTTTGGACTATATACGCGATGAGAGAGTTTATTAAGGTGGACTCTTATGACTGTCTTTTTTAAAAAGCATAACTTTTTTTATTGGATACAAGCTTTAATGGTGTTCCAGTAATAAGTTGCAATGAAAACTATTCCTTGTGACAAAAAAAAAAACATAAAGCTGCAACCAAACGATGGTAGTTTTGTCATAAAATATTTTATAACGTCTCTCAGTGAGTCCATTTCGGTGACATGTTGGTTGATTCCATGAAAAGTTAGCCAGGATCGTGTGTATTATAAATAGGGTTGATAGGCTTTTCCATTACGAGATATCTGTCATTTTGAATTAAATTTTGACGACGAATAATAAAACTGCTGATAATTTGAGACTTTGAAAAAACTTATTCGTACAGGGTCGAGCTTGACACTGAGTTTGACATTTGGGTGCAATTTATATTCAACTCTATGCCGCTTACGATAAAAGCAGTCCAAAGTTCAAGATTGATGTACTCTTGACTGTATGTGACTTATTAGAGTTATTATTTTTAATATTTCAAATTTATGAAAGTATCGTCCCATTTCTTCACGGAATGTATGAAGTTAATTGTTACAATTTAATAAAAAATAATTCAAACTAGTACCTATAGATTATATTGATGTGACACGCAATAATGCTTAAAACGTCAAAAGTTTCCGTTATGGGATATTACGTGTACCATACCATAACAATTATAGTGATTTCAGTCAATCACATGACTAGAACGCACGAACCGCTGCAAAATATAAATATTATTGTACGTGATTGTTTTCTTTCTCTGTTTTAGAGAACGAAAAATACCCTAATGAGCATATTAAACCCCGTGAGACATTTAAATAAATCGCATGTTCCGCAGAACATCCTGCTATGTTGGAACACCAGGCAACCCTAATTACAAACGATATTTATAATTCGCGGCTTAATCAAAGAAAATTGAATCATATTTCTTTAGAAGTCTAAAATTACACACAACTCTATGTTTTATAGCTTTTTCTTCCGATCGTAAAGTGCTATTGCCGACTTCGAGATGAAAACCAGTGTTCACACGACAGTAAAATAAGCTACTCGTAGACGAGTCCTCCGAAGACCATTATAGCACTCTAGGAAATCTAACGATTGAACCACTGATATTAACTGCTTTTATTATCAAAGTTATTACGCAATTGAAGCATACTATCCAGTTAATCAAACCTTAATCAAAGTTTTATGAAAATAATACCACTTTAAATTGCGCGTCGAGAATGCCTAAGTTTAATACTGGGTACTTTCTGCTACCTATACTCCTAGTTATTCCAATTTCAACATAGACTACTATTTCGAAAAGCATTAATTTGAGACTCGTTAAATGTACGTTATTCTGAATAAGGTTGGCTACTGCAGCCATTTCGGTCGTCACTTCTTTAATCATTGGGCGAATAAACCTTCTTTCATATGCCAATTTAAATTTTACAGTATGTATCTATTTGCATATTTATGTGTATAGAGTAGATATAATTTAAGATATAGTTAGCTACGGTAACTCAATGGCGTTTTCGTATTTATTAAGGTACTGATAATAACTTTTGCTTTGGTTTATTACTTTGGCAGTCGAACTTTATCTGTACTACGTGTCAAACTGAAACACCGTATAAAATATCAAAAACAGCATTTCGCAAATACAGTAAACAGATTCCGGTTGATATTCAAAATTTGTCATTCACGAGATTGAGAACTATAGTGAAACTAAAATTTTACAATAAAGGTTACATAATTACACAGCTTCTACGTATTTGTATGACAAAAATCCAAGGTAGACACCCGTTCAGCTCTTGCAGGTAGTTTTGATCATTTACAATGTTTGAAATAACTATTGTAAATGATAATTGTATATTTACAAAGAGCTAACCCTTAGAGTTTCAAGCTCATTCTTCTCAGGGGAATCTTACGAATGAGTAGTAGAGTTATGACCAATATGACGATTTGAATTATAATTTGTTAACCTATGAAATAAGATGAATTTGAGTTTGAGCATTTTCAGAAAAAAATGCAAAAAGGATTTATTAATTTTTTGCAATTTTTGAAGTTAATTACATAAAAAGATACATTTAACTTGCTTTGGTGTTAAATATTAAATAATCAATCCAGCCATTATAATTTCACTACGGTAAAAAAACTACTTCTATTTCAAAACGAATAAGTTTCTTTTCCCTTGATAACAGCCGAAAGATTCTTGTTGTAATTGCAAAATACTGTCCTGAGCCCTGCACTGTTCTAGTTTGACACGATGGTGTAATAAAAGTATGTCAAGGACTATTGAAAACGGTGAATGTTTTACAAAATACTTATACGAGATGTTCTCTTACCTTTAGGTACGCCGAGACGCAGTTGCTCCTTCTCCCAGGAGGCGAAGGTAGCCTTCAGCGCCTCGGCCATCTTCTTGTTAGTGCCGGGCGTGAGCGGCGGCACCTGCGATGGGATGTCTGCAACAATATAAAGCTGTATTAGATTTGACGGTACTGTTATTTATATTGTGTTTTTATGTTTCATTAGTACTTACAATTTGAGACATGTGCATTTGAAACCGGTAAGTTAATGAAATTGCTTGCTTAATTGCCTAACCCTACAGCGTAACCCGGTTAAATCAAATCGAAAATTTAAAATACTCCATTTGTATGCAAAGTATATTTCTTAGTAAAGTAACGTTCTCCACCTGCATTTTTTCAATGTTTACATTATTCTTTTAAATTCTTCGTGAAATTTTGCAGTGTTAATTACTTAATCGTTCATTGATCGAAACAGGGACTGTGAGATTACTAAGTGAAATGTTATTAAGCATCCGGTGTTATGTAGCCGTCTACGTCGGTAGTTCTACACACGCTTCGCGATCATCCCAAATGACTCGATAGATCACTTAATTTTTCAAACAGCAGCTATCGATAGGCGCACAGCGGACATGTCCCATCAACCAAGATGACTATCGGACTTATTAATTACTTTATCTACGGTATTTAAACCAAGTACCGGGAACAAATTAATAGCTGACTTTCTGAGGCATCAAGGCTTCGAATAAAATAAATCAGAGATAAACAAGCACGATTACATCTCGTGTGTGTGTAAGTACTCGGTTCATGGACGGAGGATTCATTCATAAGTGCGCCTGGTTTGCGGCGTGTGTGTGCGTGAGGGCCGGAGTGTGAGGGCGTGTTCGTGTGGAGGTGTCGGGCGTGTGTGAGTGTTGCTCTTGCGCACCTGCCGACCAGTTCTGAGATGCGGAGATTTGTGCACCTCTCCCACGGTCGCTGCCCGCTCTGGCTCTGATCTGCTCTAGCTGAACCTCGTTCTGATATAATTTAAATTTTTCTTTCTGTTTTTATAACCTCCACTTGCTACTCGTATAGTATCAATCGATTCCGTACAATTGATGATTTATAGTGTGCTTGCAATAACGGTAACGTCGGCCAGAGGCGTTTTTAACTCATAGCATAACACTTAAATATTTTAGTCTATTAGATTTCAGTTAGATTTAAAACACATTTCGAACTGCGCCATTAAACTTATTTTAATTGCTTGGAGTGAAATTATGTAGCTCTGAGTACGAGTCTTTTTGTCAGAATTGATAAGTTAATGTTGTATTTAAAGGAAAAGTTATGGAATTAAAGTCAAATTTGCTAAGTTCGAGTAGAACTTACGTTGCTTACTAGACCATATACGTGGTTGTAATGTATTAATATAGAATAAATTATGAGGTCTTTTTGTTGCTAACTTTAGAACTAAGACTTTATTCGCATTTTTGTGAATTAGTACAAAGGTAAACGTAAAATTAAAAAGAAAAAGTTTTTAGGAATGTTTATAGAAGCGCTGTCATAATAATATGTCACCCTATTTGTTCAAATTGCTAGGACTGAGTAACACTGAAACCCCTAAGGAAAATTCACCTTTTCACATTATATGTGTGGAACACTAATAAAATGTAGTATCAAATATTTGTAGTTTGGAGAATAGGTAAAACTGATATTGAAACTCATTGTGTGTGAATTTTTTGACTACGGAACCCTCGGCGCGTTATATTTCTATTTGGCGATTTATTTTTAGTAAACATTACAATTAATGAATAAGTATAATTTACAAAAAAGAAATTAAAATTGTAAAGATTAAATATTTAGCAAATCGTACGTAGTGTAAATTGGAATGTTCTTTTGTAAATTAAAAATACGATATTTAAACTAATAACTTTTGTAACTATATAAAACTGGTTGATGACTTTCCCATCTCAGTCAGCTGTGACCATAGATAGGACTTATGTCTCAGGGCGACAGGGCACTGCAACTGTTATGAACAGGCGCGTCGCTATCGACCAGGCGCAGGAGTTATTCGTCCCGTCACTTGGTATCATAAAATAAGGGTCGAAACGTTGGTTTGTTTAAATAAACAAATATAAACAAATAAAAAAAATAGTTTCATTTAATTAAGTACACATTGGTATAGGAATCGCGATAACCTAATATACACGACATACATTCTAATTCATAGCAACGCTGTGAGATATGGCTCTTTGGTGGTCTAGCGGTTAACATTGTGGACAATAGATGTGAAAGTTCCGGGTTCGATTCCTACCTATCCATACCTAGTCAACCGACTTCAAAAAAAGGAGGAGGTTCTCAATTGGACCGCTTTTTATATTTTTTTTATGTATGTTCCGCGATTACTCTGATAATTTGTGAACCGACTTTGATGATTATTTTTTTGTTGGATAGAGGGCACGTCAGTAGTAGTCCCATTTAAGTTTGAAGAAAATATTCCACCTCAAAGGGTGGCAAACTAGGGAATGAAAGTCTTTTGAGGTCAATTTTTTTAGTACTCTGTATTGAGATTATGATTCCGATTGAAGATTCCGGTAACCGATTTCAAAGAAACTTGGCAAATAGGTGCACTTCCACGAACTTTTGAGGTCGATGTTTTAGTACTCTGTCCTGAAATTATTTTGATAGCTAAGGTGCTGGTCTGGATGTGCCCCGGAGTTACTTTGGTGGATCTAGTACTTAGTACAGCGAACTAGTTTGAGACCAGGCAGTTGGTTGATTGACTGGTTGTTATTACAATGACGTGCTCCATGGTAATGTCTGATTATGTTATTATGTGTATACATTACGGGTATATGTACAAATATGTATATGTATAATAAAATCGACAGTACGGTGCCGTGGGCATCACGGATCACCGGCAGACACATTAATTGCGAACTGAGCATGCGTTGTGATTTACTTGAATCGCGCAGCTGCACTTGACGATTTAGGGTTACCAACAGGTAAATTATCATGTAGTATTTTTTTATACAAAAATAAGTGCGCACTTGACCTCTATTTCACCTGTTGGAAAGTGACGATGAGGCCAACAACTAAATAATGCCTATTAACTCTCGCCGCATATCCACAACATAGGGGTGGAACCCCAGCCCACGTCTGGTCCCTCGATGATGGAAAGTGAAGGCGGAATAAAATCATGCAATTCCAACGCAAACTCTCCGTGATTCCTGTACAATACCTGTTTATAGTAGGATTCTTGAAAGTCAACATTACTTTTATTCTAAGAAATCGGTTTATATATCATCATCAATCCATTTATATGTCCCTCTGCTGGGCATTGATCTCCACTCAGACGAGGGTTTAGGCTGTTTGTAAATATATATTGTAAAGTTCATAAGCGTCTTCGTACGTACGGCAGTTAGTAATTTTAGAAGAATGTCCTTTTGTAGGTGTTGGGTGGCAAAAGAGTTAAAAATATAAGTAAATTAAAAATGAGCTTATTGAAGATATTAATGACTTATTGACTACGTTACCGACAACTTTTGTGCAAATAAGAATATAGAAACAACAATGAAATAGTGTGAGTTCCGAAACACCTTGCTGACGTAATACTAAGCCGTCAACTTAATTTATAAAATATAGGAGATAAGAAGAAATATATTTTACTGAACACTATTGTTACTTATTTTAAACACTTGTAAGGGCGCGTTCCCATTATGTCGTGACGACATGTAGTCGTGTAGTTTAAAGTGTCGTGACTTGTATACTTAAATGAAGTTGTTCACATATAGTACAACATGATGTACTTGTACAACTGTCGTTCACGGCTTTTTTGACGTTACGACGACAGACTGTCGTGACAATGGGAAGAGCTAGAATGACAGTCGTCCGACGATAAATAAAATGTCACGAGTAAAATGTGACGACCGACAATCGCAGCTTTAAACGATTCTGTTGTAAAAACCACAAGGCGGCTACCGTGGACCAATACATTATCGTCGCGATCTAGTGGGAACAGCTGGACACGACAGTCGTTCAACGATAAAATAAACGTCCACGACACAGTTACGGCTGATAGTTGTGATGTGGGAATAGGTTACACGCAACAGTCGTCCAACGATTTAGTGGGAACGTGCCCTTAGACATTTAAAAGCGACCTTATACATTTCATAAATTGTGGTGCTTGTTAATCTATTCCAGTTTTTATTTCGGAAATTTAGTATATTACTCGAAAGTACAGTTTATCTCGTAGAATTGTTATTTCAACAAGTTCTTAATTGTTACCTAAATATGATTTTTTTTAAATGTGATTAATTTTTTCTAAGCATGATGATTATTTTTCTAAATATACTTAATTCGATATGTTCGATCTTTATTTTTCAAAAGCTTAGTATTATAATTAGTCGAATTCGCTGAAATTTCATTTGTTTTTTTGAACTTTTATCGTTTCCCTTTTCTATTGTAGTAACATAATTACGCATTGACTAATATTATAAAAGATATTTGTGTATGTATAAATGGACAAAAAGCAATAAAACGCACAAAAAATGGACATTGGAATAGACAGCCCTATAGTCACAAACGCTGCGCTCACGCATCTGTACAATAATGTGATCGCAACCTGCGTTACGGTTATTATGTGTAATATATAACCAAGAACACACGTATAGCTAATAGCAATGCAATGAGTTTTATGGAAATTATATTACTGTATTTAAAAGTTACGAAGTTGATTTTGCGCCTTGAAAATGTTGTGAAATGTTCAAGTAAATATTTAATGTCTGTTAAAAAAATTAAAGCCAAGTATTATTTTCTTAGATTTGATAGGTGTACCTAGTGATAGCCCGTAAAGGAATTAGACATTGTTTTTGTGGATTGTATAGATATAGTATAATGATATTTGCAGTATCGATGTGTACAATATAAATGTTATAATTAATTGAATTTTAATATATAATAATTAATTTCGTAACTGATTGTATAACAGCTACATTTTTTTTACATAATGAATGTTAAGCCTTTTTGGCGCTTACAATATTTTTGCTATCTTTATTTAAAGATTTTTGGGGCTTTCAGGCGTTTAAGGTAACACTTGTGATTAAAAATATGCAACAAGGTGCAGCACGTTTTTTGCCACTATCTTTATAGTAAACGACGAAATAGTTATGCACAATGTT